ATATATATATATATTGTTGTGCGTCAGCCCGTTACTCGTTACCGCATTATCGCCTCTTCTCACGATTTCATTTCGATCGTTGCGTAATCGCTTCGAGCCGAAACATTGCCGGGATTTTTGGTTCCTTTGCCGCAGGGACGATGGAAGGTTATCTAGTGTGGAACCCGAGGTGCCAGATGCCGTCGAAGGAACCGATCGACCCGTCGATACGCACCTACGTGAAGAAGGAAAAGTTTGAAAAGTGCAGCTCCGAGTCGTCGTTCACCGCTCTCTCTCGGCGAGAAAACGGCACGGTGGTGCTGACGGTGGACCCGGCCGCGGCGGTTCGCCACCCGGGTCTTCGATGCTGCTGGGCACCGGTCTACAGAGCCGAGAAACAACAGGAGAAACCGACCAAGGACAACAACGTGGACTCGTCGATCGTGTGAGTGGGAGAGAGAGAGAGAGAGAGAGAGGTATTTGGGCTAACTAAACGATCAAACGGACCGATTTTCTCCTTCCGCAGGGTGAAACGATGCGTGAGCTTCGAGGGTGAGGCGACGTTGCCGGACGACGAGGCGCAAGCCACCCTGGTCAGCTGCACCGACGACCACCGCCATTCCCTAGGTAAACGACGCGGCAAGCCCATCTACGAGAACGTCCACGCGATCCCGAATCCCGACAAGGTTCGCGATCGGATGCAACGGACGCAGTCGACGACGAGCACCACCTTCGACAACGCCACTCCTTCGAACGAAGCTCCTCTGTCCAGAAAGTTGAGCGTCCTGCTGCTCGGTATCGACAGCGTCAGCCGATTGAACTTTATGCGCAGCGCGCCCCTCACCGACCGATACCTGCACGAGACCGGCTGGATTCGGTTCGACGGGTACAACAAGATGGGCGACAACACGTTCCCCAACTTGATGGCCATCCTGACCGGGCAGAACGAGACGCAGGCCTACTCGCTCTGCAAACCCACCGTCCCGCACATGCTCGACCGCTGCCCCTTCCTCTGGCGGAGCTTCCGCGAGGCGGGCTACGCGACCGCCTACGGCGAGGACGAGACCTCTCTCAACACGTTCAACTATCTGAAGCTCGGCTTCGTCCAGCCGCCCACCGACTACTACCTCCGGCCGTACATGCTCGCCTGCGAGAAGTTGCTCAAAGTGAAAAAGAGGTAGTGGTGAGCAGCAGCCCTTGATTGATCGCCCTTACCAAAACCTTAGTTATAGTAGCCAGGTGCTGGACAAATTTCCGCTATTTTCATTTCTTGCTCAGATTCAGGCTCAAGTACTGCACCGGACCGGAGACCAGCTTCGACAGAATTCTCGACTACGCGATCGAGTTTGCGCGCGCGTTCCTCGGCCTGCCGTACTTTGGCTTCTTCTGGACGACCAGCGTCAGCCACGAGAACGCCAACGGGCTGTCGTCGATGGACCGTCGACTGCTCGACAAGCTGCAGCGACTGGAACGCGACGGTGTGCTCAACGACACGATGGTGGTGCTGCTGAGCGACCACGGGATGCGCTGGGGCCCGATCAGGAGCGCTCCGATTCGCGGATGGTACGAGGAGAGGCTGCCGTTCCTCTACTTCTCGCTGCCGGAGTGGTTCCGCGCCGAGCGGCCGGACGCCTACTCGTCGCTGCGGACGAACCGGCGCCGGCTCACATCGCCGTTCGACTTGTACGAGACGCTGAGGCAAGTGCTCGTGTTGTCCGGCGGCGGCCTGGCCGATCCGTCCACCGGTTGTCCCGGCTGTCGCAGCCTCCTCGCCGGTCCCGTGCCCTTCGAGAGAGGCTGCGCCGACGTCGGCGTCTCCTCGCACTGGTGCGCCTGCACCGCCTTCCGCCCGGCCGATCCTCGCGATCCTCGCGTTCAACAGGGGGCCCGCGTCTTTCTCCAGCACGTCGACGACCTGCTGCAAACCTCCTCCTATCGGGACAACAAGGGCAAACGGTTGTGCGCCAAGCTTCGCTTGAAGAAGCTCCATCGCGTCGAGCGCGTCGTCGACTTTGCCTCCTCGAGCGGCCACCACGTCGCCTACTTTTACACGATCCAAGTGAGCCCCGGCGACGGCAAGTTCGAGGTGACGGTTCGACGCCACGCCAACGGCACCTACACCGTGTCCGACCACGAGATCAGCAGGCTCAACACTTATGCCTCCGCCGCCGAGTGTCTCGATCGCGGAATCAA